TCTGTATGTATTTCTGTGGTTTCAGAGATGGAAAAGCATTGCAAGAGAAAGCGGCGAAGAAAGCTGCTCAAGCTGCAGGTGCAAGTTCTGGTGGAGGAGCAGCAGGAGGCAAAGGAGCTACTAAGAAGTGATGATCCCATTTGGTTTGTCTCTTGGTTACATTATAACGTTTCTTTTTTACTAGAATGTTTGAAATTGAGGGATTTAGACCTGAGTTTTGCTCTTGTCTGAATCCCATTATACTGTTTCTGTATTGCAAAATTGCAGTTTGATGCTTGTGTTGAAATCTTAAGTTGGTCTTTCTTTGATCTGGTTGGTTAGTTGCAATTATATTGTCCCTTTTGGGGACCTTGTAGCTCTTGTGACTATGAATGTTTCGTTCCCCTCATCTCTCATAGTGTTTAGAGCTTTGCTATCTCTGTGTGTAAAGTGCAATTTGATGCTTGTGATGAATCTTTCTTGCTCTTTGATCTGGTTGGTTAGTATGTTTGCAATTGCATTGTCTCTTTTGGGGATAATCGTAGCTCTTGTTACTCCGCCTTTTGCGTTCCCCTCGTGTTTCAGAATGTTGAAGTCCAGGGTCATTCAAATCTTTGCTTGTGTATGAATCCCATTGTGCTGTCTTTGTACCTAAACTGCAATGTGATGCTTGTGGTGATGCCTTATTTGGTATTTCTTTGATCTTTTATTACGTATACTCGCAACTATACTGTCTCTTTTGGAGATATTTATCACTCTATCTCTCAGAATGTTTTAAACCTGGTTATTTAGGCGTAAGCTTTGCTTGTGTCTGAATATCATTGTGCCGACTCTGTTTTGAAATTGCGCTTTGGGTGAATCTTATTTTGGTCTTGGAGCTGTTATGAAGTAAGCAGTTTATGAGATTTGGGTGTATCTAAAGGTCATAGGATTTGTATTTAGAAAATAATAGCCCGATAAAACTCGAAATCTTAGATTCAATTCAAGTAGCTACATCTTTCTTGAATATGGGTTCCTGAGCTCTCTTGCTTTGGGAGTAACCTGTGGTTCATTTTCCTGCAGTGTACTCCAGTTCTGCTATTGGTTTTGAGTTTTCAACTATAGCGTGGTTTCATTCTATGGTATTATAGTGTTTTCGGAAATGGTTGAGGGATAAAGAAAAGGAAAAAAAAAAAGATTATTCTTTTAAGCAAGTGTTTTGAACTTGTTTAAATTTTTGGTATTCGAATCTTTCAGTGGAACCGTGGTTTCTGCAACTATTTAGTTGCTTAAAATTTGTTCCTCATTCCACTTTTGACCTCCAATCACCATCTTTAGCTCGATCTTGAATTCTCTCATACGAGAATGCATTTTCATATGGAATGAGCATTTGGTTTCTATTTAAGATACAAAATTATCAAAATTCCGTTTCTTAGAAGATAGGTCGAGGCAAATTAAAGATTTGACCTAATAAATGAAATTTCCACCATTGAGTAGGTCATAAAATTCGACAGAAGAACCTATTCATTTTCGTTAACAAGTTGGATATGAGCAGCTTCTCTTTGTTTATTAGACCACGAAAAAATCTCTTTCGGCTCTGTTTTTTAAAACAAGTGGTTCATATTCTTGATTTATTTCATTTGTTATTCGTTCACACCAAAGATAGTTAGACCATTCATATTTGGTACACAAGTCTTGTTTCAACATGACTAGTAACCACTAACTCCGGGAAAATAAACAATGGTGAAGCTTGAAATATGAACTGAATAATTGGTAACATCATACCAGTGTGGTATGATATGTACCACGTCTTTTGTATTGTAATACTATCTCGTATCATTATTCGTACTATTTCCATTCGTATAAACTATTATATTGCACTGCTAAATCGTGCCATAAAAAGAAAAATTGTACCGCTTTGTGTTACTAATTAGATCATACACCAAACTATGAGTGAAATTGTGCTATATAGGGTTCTCCACTTTCCAACTTTGCAAGAAAATACGAGAAGTGTGGATCAGCTTTTTGCACATAAGAAAAATGTTCACCTCACCAACATTCATGTCATGCATACAACATGTGACATGAATGTTGATAACAAAGGACATACAAATACGAGTTTTAAACTCTTAAGGTTTGATTCGAAGATCAACAGAACGAGGAGACTGGCCAAAACAATTTAAGTGGTCATGCGAAATACCGATAACACAATTTAATCTTAATAAAATATTTCACCAAAATTCTACCGCACAATATATTACGAAATTACATAATTATTTTATTTGTTGCCGTACATGATCAAGATATTTATTAAGGATTAACACATTATAATACAATTACTATTTGTGAAGAAAAGGTGGAAATTTTAAGGATATTTTAGAATACTAGGAAGTTAATGTGAATTTGTAATCTTGTATTTATTAGGTTTACAATACATTACATATTAAAAAAACATATATACATCTCGTATGGTCCCAAAGGTTTGACGGATTAAAGTATATCTACAAATCATCAAATAAAAATGATGATATATTTTTGTTTTAAAAATTACATCTCCTATTTCTAATTTGCTTAAATGATATATATTTCATTGTGATTTTTTTGTTTAGTGACATTTTTTAACCGTAAACGAA